AAGAGAGAGAGAGAAAGGAAGAGAGAGAGAGAGAGGAACGTAAATTAATTTTATTTTTTTTTTTTTTACTTCTATTTGCAATTCCTTTCAGTAAATAATAAGGAAAATGTGAAAATGAAAAATAACGAATTAGTAGAATTAGTAAATGATGAAATAATTGAATTTTTTCGACTTTTTATTTAATTTATTGTATTATGAAAGAGATAATAATGATAAAATTTTACTGGATATTTTTTGAATTTGAATTATTTATTGATAATATGTTAACAAATAGTGAAACTGTTTTACTGATATGATATTATCATATCAAAAAATGTATCGCTTATTTAAGCGAGGACGTTGAGAACGACTTTAAAAAGTTACGCAAGTAAGAATATTATGATAATAGTTACAAAAGAATTACGTGTATGAGAATGTTATGATAATACTTATAAAAGAGTTAATGTAAGATAATACTTACAAGAAAGTACGTAAGTAAGGTAATACTTACAAGAGTTACGTAAGTGAGAATGTTATGATAATACTTACAAAAGAGTTACTTAAGTGAGATAATGCAAGAGTTACGTGAGATAATGCAAGAATTACGTAAGTAAGGTAATACCTACAAGAGTTACGTAAGTGAGAATGTTATGATATTACTTTAAAAAAGTACGAAATGTTGATTCTGTCTAAAAAAGTAATTTTTATTTTTTTTCATTTCTCATTTCTATGCAAATACACGTAACAAATTGAATTACGTTTAAATCTATTACGTCCGCACACGTCTGCATTCATGACTTTTATGCAAAAATGATAAAAATTGCATATCACTTTGATTACACTTAAAGATAATATAATATAATGTAATCGATGATTGATTATTGATTAGAGAGAAAGCTTATTTAGGAATCAATATTTGCATAAATTAATATTTAATAGAAATAATTTATAATTAATATTTAATAGCAATAATTAATCTTAATTATTTGCTGTTTCAGTTACCGCCAACATTCTTTTACGTTTTGAGGGATGGTTGTAATGGTCATTTGGCAAATGTACAGCCTGCTTATGAAAGCTATGCGGCTACTGGTTTGTTTATTTGCTTTCTATCTTTCTTTTTTTTTTTCAGATTAAAATCCTAAAATTTTTTCGATCTTTACCTAAACATTTATTAGTAACACGATAAGACTTTTCGGCACTATGATAGAAAATTTTTCGGCATCATACTATAGATTAGTTTAGTTTATGGAAATTATAAAATTGTATGATAACAAAATTGGTTAAATTAATTTGGGAGAAATTTAAATTAAATATTCATTTGTCAAAATTTCTTAAAGATTTTAATTTGCTCTTAAAAAAAGAATTATTTTAATATAAAGAAACAGAAATTTATATTATGCTAATTTGATCTTGCATATTTATCGTTGCAAAATTGCATCATTTCATACATTTTATCGATATTTTTGCTTATTTTATATAATAAAACTTTTCAACAGAAAAAAAAATAATCAAAATAGTATAAATTTGCATAATAATAAAATAAACAATGCCAATTGAAAAGTTTGTTTTCTTTTTTTTTTTGCATGTTTCTCATTTTCAATTCATTAATCTTACATTAATTTCGTTAATTCTTTAATTTCATTAATTTATTTTTATATGAAACATTTTCGTTTGATACGGCTGCGGCATGTTTTGCGACAATTACTGGTGGACCAATTTGGGCTATCATCTATTACACTGCTAATTTACTTTATACCTGTATTGGTCCTATGGTTTGTTTAAATTATTACTACTTTAAAATATCCTTTCATACAGCAATATAATGTCACAATAGCGGTGATTCGGTGAAATATAAAACAAACGATACCTGTATTTATCAATGTTTAATAACGTTAATGGTTTTGGTTAAAGTTTAAAGTTTATTTTTAAATAAATAGAATTTATTATTTTTAAACCTTATGGTTTGTAAAAACTAAAATGGTCTTTGACTCAAGAAAAGGTTAGAAAATAATTACTGTCATGCAGTTAGTATTTTTTATGGAATTTCTTTAACTTTTTCAAAAAGAATTGAAAGATGAAATGTGAAAATGAGCTATAATATTAGTAAGTTATATGGTATAAAAGGAAAAATTTTCACGTTTACGAATTTAAATTACGAAATATTTTGTTAAAATATGTAAAAATTTTTTCTGAAAAAATAAGCAAATTTTCAAATTTTAGCAATTTTCAAGATTACAACTCTTTTAATTAAATATAAATAAAAAGAAAAAGCTAGGAGAAACGAGAAAATGTAAGTGTAGAAAGTTTAAGGCATTATTGTTCAAATTAAATTAAATTACTTTCAAAAATCTTACCTCTCTCAAAAAACAATGATTACTGATTACTTCATTTATCATTTAATTTGAAATTCAAAGTTGTAATTAGAACAATTAATACAGGGAATTTGTTTTAATAAATTCATGCAAATAATATTATCCATTGCATAATTTGAAATGTTACCATCGGATGAAGAAAAATCATTGAGTAGCCTGAAATAATTTAAATAATCCTCGTGATGAAAAGATTAAATAATATCATGGTTAACATCATTATACATGAATAATGTTAATATATCAATATATCAATAGAATATTGATATCATAATATCATATCATAATATATCGTAATCACAATCATCATAATCATCATTATGAATCAATCATAATCATAATATCAATACGTCAATATATTATACCAATATCGATATCAATATAAGTAATATCAATGTCATGATATTAATTAAAGGAGTCACACTTTATCTAATATTTTATAACAGCAAAAAAATTGGATACTACTACATTATCGTAGTATAGAGGTTATATTGTATTACCGTAATGCAATGTAGTGTTATGGTTTAATACCGTAGTAGAGTTTTATTACGTAATATTATTATCTAATTATATTTATTGTTAATTATTTACTTTTAGATCGTATTGCTGATATTCATTTACAATTCATTCGTAGAGCAATTTGCATTTGTGGAACGATTTCGAACACTTCTATTAGCTTTGTTATGTGCTGTATTTTCCACAACGGGTCTTCTGCTTTGTATGCCTGTTAGTATTATTATCATTTCAAATAAATTCTTCCTTTCTTTTATTGATTTAAAATTTGTTAATCGAATTCAGTATTTAAATTCCAAACTTTTTTTTCTTTAGAAATAATCCAATTATAATAAGACCAGCATATCATTTATTTATTTTCCATGCCTAATTTATTCACTTTTCATTAAATTAACTTGCAATTACGATATTGATATTTCAATAATTGTAATTTTTTTTTCGTCCTCATTGCTTAATTTCATATAAATTTCCAAAATAATTACCGTAAATTTAACCGTTATGTTTATAAGATACGAACTGGATGTTTACGTGTATAAGACGTGACTAACTGAATGTTTTACGTTTAGATGACGTGACGAATAATTGATAATATTTGTTAACATTGTAAATTTATGCAATATTTTTAGATGGGTACGTCATTTTCCACATTACTACAATACGTTTCACAATCATCGATCACTCAATTATTCCTATTTATTACTGTTTTCTTCATTTATGGTAAGTTGTTTTTTTCTTTGATTTCAAACTTTAAATTATCCTTTTAAATTTTATTACTTTAGATCTACTGAATAAAGTAAATTGAAAACTTATCAGTGGGAGCATTTAATTATTCTGATGATATATTTTCGGAATTGTTGAAGAAATCAAAAAATTGATATTATTATTTTTTCTTAATTAGAATATAATTTAGGATCTAATTAGGATAATATAATATAAAATGAAATAATACCAAACTGATATGATATGTGTAATTAAATGAAATGAGGATTATTTATAATTTCAAATCGAAAATTGTTTTGAAAGAAATAAATAGATTTACAAATAAAAAAAAAAGAAAAGAAAAGAAGTGTCACAAGCATATACAATTTAAATTATTTCATAAATTTTTCTCTTCCTATTTTATCATCATTAATTGAATGAATTAAATTGATATCAATAATCAAAATTATAAAATTCATGAAAAAATTTAATTTAAAATTATCTTTTTAGGATGGTATAATTTGGATACCGATATACGGATAATGATAAATACCAATAGTAATCGTTCATTACTACTATTTTTACTTGGTGCAACAAGTCCATTATATACATTATTACAATTTACATCTGTACCAGCATTTCTTATGGTTCATTATTTTTTCTGTTGTTTTGTTTTTCCTAATTTAAAAAATTTTTTCTTAATTTTATTTTTCCAAAATAATCATTAGGTTTTTTTTTAAATACTAAGGATTCAAGTTCTTTTTTTTTCAAAATGAAATAAGATAAGATTATTTTAATTTAACTTTCAAATAATTATTAGGTTTTTTCAAGTATTAAACGATTGAGTGATATATTTTAAAATTTTAAATTAAATTTCAAATTTTAGGCAAAATTAGTGAGTGTATTTGATTTGCTAATGGATGGAATGGATATTGAAAAGCATATTGATTATGGTACTGCATTTATATCATCATCAAAAATGTTGAATCGATTTTTTGGATATTTGATATTGCTTGGACCAACAGCAATTATTATCATTTTTGCATTTGTTGCATTTTACATTAATGTTATTCTATATCGAATGGTTAATGATTTGATTAATTTCGAAAAATTAATTAATATTTTTAAATGAAAAACTTTTGGATATTTGTGTTATGTATTAATTGTAATGCTTTTATTCAAATTATTACATTTAAATTTTATCTCATATCATCTTTAAATGTAATGAGTACAGTAATGAGTACCGTCTTTAAATGTGGTGCGTATGATAAGATACCTCTTTAAATGTGATGAGAACCATAGGACACGGTCAAATTGTCTTTATTTTTATGATATTAATCGATTTAACCATAATGATTCGTCATTGATCAACTACAATTTGAAATTGTAAAATACTGACTCATTTTCATATAATTTTTAAATTCCAATTTAATTTTACAATAACATTTAAATGTAAAAGTATAAAAAAACTATAGCTGACGATATATTTACTTCTAAAGCAATATTTTCAAAAATTGTTTAATTTTAAAATGATATTTAAATATATAATATTAATTAAATTATTTTAGCCATGGGGTGCAATTATGGATGCAACAACAGATTGGATTTCACATACTTCAATTAGGCAGGTAAAGGTTTCTTTTTTTTTCATTTTTAAAAATATACCATTTTTTAATTTTGTATAAAATTTAAATTTGAATTATTTCTTTTCAACAAAATGAATTTTTACAATATATTAGAATGGGGAAACTGTGGAGGAAAAAAAAATAGATGAAAGAAATATTTTACAAACAAATTGATCTATCTATAATCATTATCGATTACTGTGGTCATGTAATAATGAATGAAATCTGTTCAAAGAAAAAAAACAGCCAAGTTATTATAGCAGAAAATAGCCTAGTTTGAAATGTTTTTGGTAAAAAATAAAAATCACAGTATGCAAAAGTATTTCCACCTTTTCTTTTTTTTTTTTTTTTTTTTCAGACGACAAGTCCAAAATCACCACCGATCTCACATCACATATTCACCTCGTTTTTAAATATTTCATATCGAAGTGTATTATATGTCATATTTATTACAGAAATATTCATTGGAATCATTTTATTATTCCTTTTTATTGGGTAAATTTTATTTCTTGGATTAATTTATATTTGATAAATAATTTGTAATTTATGCTTTTCAGTATTTAATTAAATTGTTCCAAATAATTACGAAAAAAGAAGGACAAATAAATCAATAGCATTAAGCTATGATATGATTACGAATATTATATTTTTTTAATAACAAAAAAAGCTTGATATTTCTAATCAATATCAAAAAAAAAAGATTCTGATTCAAAAAATTGAATTGAAATTCTTTGCTAAATCTTCGATATCATATTTAAATTTCTCGTTTAAATACATGTTAGGGAAATGGGAAAAGAATTCCAATTTAGTTTTTTGTTAAATTTTTAATTTCTTATTTAAATTTTTAATTTGCAGTAATGTATTTTATGTTCGTTTTGCTAATAATAGCACCAATATGGCAGCAGCAGGTAATTTCCGCACCATATTATTCCTTGGTCTCTTAACATTTCATATTTTATCACTGATTGAATTACGTTGGGCACTGAAAAGATGGGATCATTCATCCAGGTTAACTCAAATTTTAATTTTTCTTCTTTTTTAAAGTAAATAAAATGAAATACTATTAAATAGATCATAATTTCATTTCAGTTTTATAATATTATAAAGTTACTGTAAGACATTATAAAATTACTGTAAAATTTGTAGGAAATCTTTTCGAATTACTCATTAAAGGGGGGGGGGGGAAAAAAAGACTTAACTGTGATATCATTCATACTGGTAATGTTTTTAATTATCAACAAATACATGTTCATGTTTTTGAAAATAATCTTATCGATTGTTTCAAAGATTTTTAGCACTATCGATTGATCCGAACATTTCTATTAATTAATTCATAGATTTTTTACATACCAAGAAATATTTGTAGAAATGATCAACTATTATATATTCACTTACATATTGGAAAAATATATATATATATATATATACAATAACTAATTATTTTCAACAATGATTTATTATTTTAAAAAAAAAAAAACTTTCAAAGCAATCAATAATGCTATTCTTAAACATTACACATTATTGAATAATGAATGAAAAGTGATTGTTTGTTTGTTTGGTTTTTTTTCTGAAATTGAAAAAGTTTAAATTTTAGATTAATTTTATATATAGCGGTTGCAACAATGGAAATGGCTATCCTCAATGGTTATATGTGGATTACAGCAGTGAATCATTCATGGGGTTTAAATTATCAACCATTTTTGGTAATTTTTGTCAATACCATTATTCGTGGTATTATGATTGCTATTGTAATAGCAATTCGTTGGAATATGGCGGAAATGTCACATCCAACACGTACACGTGATGCTACCGAAATTTATGATGCAACCGCTGATTTAGACAATGATGGCGATCATGAAGATGATATACCAACCATTTATGAGATGCGACGTGATGTTTTCACGTGAAATATATACATTTGTCAAATTGTTTATTTCCGCTTTTTTATGTATTGGTCGATTTGCTAAAATAAATCATAATAATATGTCATTTGTCATCTGTAAAATTATTTAAATTTACAATATATTCAAACATTGTCCAATCGTTGTATAATGATAATAAAGATTACTATAATACAGTTGTAGCCAAGTGACATACAATTAGGCTTAATACAATTGTAGCCGAGTGATATACAATTGGGTCTAGTACAATTATATCTAAGTGATACACAATCGAGCCTAATATATTTGTAGCCAAGTGATGCATAATGCAAAATCATCAGCCTGTCGATTGATTGATTGATTTAATGAATTAATGATTTGATATAAATTTGTTCAAGAATTAAACATTCCTCCCAGAAATCAGACAAATATATTTTAGATATTTAATGGTTATTCCAAAAATATAATCCTTAAAAAGAAAACGTGCTGAAGTGTTGTTATCACAAATAAGCAAGCTATTAATTACTGGAATTATCCATTTTATAATTGATATGATCATATGGCTAACGTAACCATTTATTTCATACAGGTGTATATTTCATTATCGTATATTTCGTAATCGTATACTTCATCTAACCATATATTTCGTAACTTCATATTTCATATAACCGTATATTTTGTAATCGTATATTCCACACAACCGTATATTTTGTAATCGTATGCTTCATCTAGCCATATATTTCATAACTGTACATTTCATATAACCTTATATTTTATAGCCATATATTTCATATATTAGAAAATTATTACTCGAAAATTTAAAAATTTCATAAATTATTAAATTTTTAAAAATCTTCTTTGCACTTTTACTAATTTCTTTAGTTCATTTGTCGTTTTTTTTCGTTGACTTTTTCCAATACGCTTTTCACCTAATATTCTTGTTTTAAAATGAACTTAATCAAATTCGAATAAACCCGGCTTTCGAAAAATACGCCTACGTGATAGGTCATGCGTGTTAAACGTGGAAGCATCACGCATAATCATTTCGGCATGCATTTCACGTTTTAAAAAAATTTGAAATGTCTTGCTCCTGAAACGATTGTTTGCACTACCGTATTAATAATCGATGTGTTGTCATCTCGGCCGATATTATTATTATTGGTTGGCTGTGTTTTCGGTGTCGTGTTGTTTGGAGTGTTCTTCCATCTTTCTGATTTGTTGATGGTTTTTTCTGGGGTTGCTGTCTCGGTATATATCGGGAAAGTTGGGTAGAAGTACTCGTCTATAAGCATTCTCTCATGTAAGCAGTGCTTTTTGGTGACTTTTCCTGGATGCTTATTTCAATTACATGTTACATTTCGGGTATTCAGAAGACTTATTTAGTTAGAACTATTGCTGTATAAATTGTCTAGTTAGCTGACAGCAATGTTTCTGGGATGTATTGAGCTATATGCAGAGTTGAATGCTCTTAAAGGTTGGTATCAACCTTTTACTGTGGGGATCGCGGGATTTGGTGAAGTTTTTAATATTGTCTTCCTAGTTATATATGATTAAAATAACTTGTTGTAGCGTTGTTATATGTAATTGAAATGACTAGATGTAGCACCAAATTTCGTTTCGACTGCACTTGAAATTCAATTTTTATTTTTATTCGTTTTAGAAGACTTTTCGAATCTTATCTATCCATTTCGTTCCATATATTTCTTTGTTATTTTTCCTGTATTCATTCTCCTGGCATGTTCTCTTCTCTTTTCTTTCTTAATCAACAATTAGAAATTTTTTCAGAATTTGAGCCTTTTTTGAATGATTCGAGAAACAGCTGTTATATTTGCTTAGGAAAATTTATATTATTAAGATGAGGTGTATGAATAAGAAGTAAGAGGAAGAGGAGGAGGAGAGAAAAAGGAGCTGTTCGTGTGTTTTTTTGAGGATCGATTTTGCTAGAGCATATAAAAGTGCTTTTTCTCACTTTCAGGATGTTTAATTATTTCGGTTTCAGGGTCGCTTACTTCCCATTTCAGAATTTCTACTTTCATTTGCAAGATGGTATACAAGCTTTAATAATTAAAAGTTTTGATTTAAATTTGTTGAGTTTTTACAATAACTTCTGGGATTCACGATTGTGCTGCGGAAATTAAGTAGTATGGTGGAAATTCCAGGAAATTTCATATTTTAGGCCTAGCTGACTCTGATATACTAGCAGCTTGATCAATGGACAAATAAAAGGAAATATTTCCATCCTTAACGTCATAAAATCCCTAATCTATAGAACAGCAGTTTTTTAGTTTATCTGTTACAGAATTAATTAAAGCCTAAGATTGAAAATTTCTATGAACTGTCAGCAAAATCATTTAATTATGCAATATACACGGTCAACATTCATAATGTCAAGTCTCGAGACTATGGTATTCCTATTCATAAGGATTATGAAATCAAAAATGTTTTGCATTGTTTTTTGAGGAAAAGACGAGGCGGCGAAGGAAATGTTTGCTTGAAATCATCGTGTTAGCATGACGACCAGTTTCCTTCCCTCGGCATTTGCAAGCACTGGTACCCAAGCAGGAGTTGTAAACCAATGATTTTTTTTTCTTAAAAACTTATGAATATTTTTCTGCATCACAAGTTTCACTTTTTTCGAAACTAGTTTTTTCCAATAGTATTTATTTTAACTGTTGGTTGAGGATTCAAATCTGTAGCACTTCTTCTTGACGAATTTTCGACATAAAATATGGAAATTTGCTTCCTTATGATCGACTATGAAAATAACCATGATCTGGTATAAACAGTTGAAATATTAATAGATCGTTGATGAACAAATCTTCAAGTTTGGTGTGAATTTCAAGACCAAAAATTCGAATTTTAGTTCCGATTTTAATCAGTGTTAATCCTTAAAGTTTCATAAATGGATCGAGTTCTTATTCTTTGGTCATTCTTTCATCATTATTTGATTGATTACTCAACTTGGTTTGCTTATTAGTTTCTGTATTGTTCAGATATCCTTCCTCACCTTGTCTTTATAGTTTCAGTCAGCTATAATTTTTCCTCAGAGTTCTCAATTATCCAGATCTTGTTTACAGTGGTATTTGATGTTACCATATCTATTAATTACTAGTGATACTAGTGCAAATTTTACCTTGCACCATGATTCACTAGTGTCTAAACAGCTGTTCACCACATATATACAGCTGAGAAAAGAGAGAGAGCGAAAAAAAGGATGCTGGTGGTGATGATGGTATCTCTTCTAGTGAACAATCTTGGTTGCATATTTCGCGATACCTGCTCCGTCTTAAAATTGTTATTGGTATTATATATTTCATATTTGCTCCATTTTTAAGGAATTTGTTCTCATCCATTCATCAATTTCACAACTATGTTTGATGGCGATCCGTTTGGCTTTGGGTAAGTTTTCAATTATTTCCTTCAATTTGGAGTTAACTAGTCGATATTAATTTGGTTGCTTATTTATTCGGCCATTTATCATTGGATATAAGCCTATTTGTTTATGCAGTTACTCGTGGTTTTTTCCTTCATTTGAAATTTGTTGTTTGTTGATTTATTATATGTGGCCAGTGTTTGAATTTGGATTTGTTAGACTAGCTGCTAGTTGCTTATAATGTGCTTGCTGTAGTAATTGTGGTAACCTTTTTTCACTATTTTTTTACGGAGTTTTAAATTTAAAAGAAAAATTTATTGGAAGGACTATTCCTCTTGCGTATGTGAAAAGTTGTGACTTCTAACCTTGCGTTAGGAGCAGGAATTCTTAAATTAATCAAGTTGATTTATTGTTCAGGTATTTTGCTACTGGCGATTTTGGTTGTACAGGGGACAAATACAGATACGCTTCATGTTTTTTCGCTATGCTAAGATTTCATGTCATTTTTATCGACACTCAGCAAAACTTGTTTGTTGAAACCTAATGATAGTTCAAAATCTATGAATCTGAGAAACGAATGAGACCGCATAGGTTAATAAGTCAATTCTAAAAGTAATTCCTAACGGAGGTTCTAGTTACAAATGTTTTGGGTAGCAATATTCTATTATCTGTATTTTGAGTGGAATGAAAATTGGTTGCCAAGTGAGAGACATAATTTTGATTTTCGCTGCTTGGGGTCCGGTGAATGCAAAAAACTAGAACTGGGAAAAAATGGACGTAAGTATAGCGATGTTGCTAAGAAAAGAGGTCTAAATAAGGCGAAAAGAAACCTGTTTTTTTCTTTTCATCTTAAGTATAGGAATTTCCCAATGTTTTTACAATATTGGTTCGGTTTGAGACTAAGTCATAGTAGCTAAAAGTGATTGAGATTATAAATGAACTGAGATTACATATAACTAAAATACACTAAGATTACTATTATCTCAGTCGGATGGTTGAAGAGCTTTTATAGCTGTGGGAAGTAGCGAAATTAACCAGTTGTCAGTTTGATAAGCTGAAGTTTGAAGTAGTTTATTAGATGGATGATTTTGATTGGATAAGCAATTGTGGTATATGAGTGTAAAACATGAGATATTGACAGAAAGTGATAACCAAAGTCCTTCTGTCTTTCTCGGTTGGTTTTCAGGACGATTTCCTAAGTATACATCTGACGTGGAAGCAGAGCAGTTAACTTATGCAGATGTGCATGAAATATATTCGATGTGTTAGTACCGTAAGATTAAAAACTCAAATGAGCAAGAAGGTACTGAAAGTCGTCGTGGCATGGTGTGTATTTTTGTAGCCGATGATTTATAAACTGTCAGATCAATTAATGGGCTTAGATTAATGGACTGAGTAATGACGAAAATAACATTTTCCCATTCCACTATCAATTACTGAAATTGTTGGTCTTCTGGCTACTGTTATACTGCATCGCAAATAAGTGGATGGGATTTCGGAGCAGTGAAGGATGAAGGAATTTGAAAAAGAAGGAGAGAATCGAATATGTTAATTTCATATGAGAAACGGAAATCTAATTAATGGGACATCCGGTGTAATTGTACCGTCTAACGGTAGCGTGATTTTATGTCATATACATCGTACGTGCGATGATTAGTTTTCGAAAAATTGAATTTATGGCGTCCATTTGACTTACCAGCCGACATAGACTCCTTGGCGTGACACTTGATGACTTCAGGAATATGTTTCATTGCACTTCGATTATTCATTTTTTACTACCCATATTTGCCATGTACTGTTCAGGTTGGAATTTAGTGAAGACATCTTTGAAAATCATATCATGAATTTGGTCGGAAAATAGTTTCAGAGAATATCAATAAAGCTTTCTTTAAGAATGTCTGATGTGTTATAATAAACTTATAATTTTTAATTAGGAGAAGGAGGTGGGGAGAGATGGGAGAAGAATAATGTTAACTTTCGAGGAATATAATAAAACTTGTTTATGGAAGCAGTAGTATTCTTCACCAATGCATCGTTTAATACCTTATGCTTACTTGTTGACAGATTAAAACAAGTATTTACGGACACCTTTGAATATATTATTGCGGACACATATAAATGTACTTGCAACTACTAAATTGGTTGTTAGTGTGTGCGTAAGCGTTTTCTTAAACATAATACTCAAAGATATGGTGTACTTTAGTCAGCGTCAAGTTTGTACAACACGATTATATAGCAGGTTTGGCTCTTTACGAATTTGTCCAGATCATCATTTTATTGGTTTTCTGAATTCATTTTTCGGATTCCAAAAAAATGAGAATTTGAAATTTTACATTCAAATTTCAGTGCTATTAAATCTGCAAATTTAAATACAGAAGATCTGTTTAAGGAAGATCTTTTATGCAGCGCTTGAGGGATTCTTTCAGTTAGTTTAGGTAATTTGTTTTTTACTTGGATAATAGAGGGATGTAGATTATTGGTGACATAATATAACCACTTTAGTTAGATAATTTTGAAAATTTAACAGTGCGACGATAGATCTTTGCTTTTTGTTTCCTTTAAATTTTTGATTGTAAACAACAAATGAAATTTAACAATGCATTGGTGTAAATAACGATGTATGTTGTATTGGTAGTCCTTCATTTTTTGTTTCGAATTCTCCTTACCAACTACCAATGAATTCTGAAAACAACATGAATATTAAATGGTGAAAATTAGACGGTTTCCACCTTAAAAATAGTTTTCTTTTTTTTTCGTACTGTGCTGAATAAGAAAAAGGAGCACATAAGTTGTTGATTGAAGGGAGTTTGCGATATTGTATTTTTCTGTTGGGACTTAAGTAATAATGTTTGTCTGTAATTGTTTATATAAAAATCAGAAAGCTTTAATAACTTGTTAATCAAACTGCTATTGCCAGAATGAATAAGTGGAGTAGGAAATGGAAAGTTACGGTGCATAATTTATTTGTTGCTTACGATGTAAGTGGGTACCATTGGAATTACGTTGACCAGTGTTTAACCTGGATAGAATTAGGTTAAAATCTTGTTATCATTCTTTTTCTTTTTGTTTTCTATTTTCAATCACTTTTATCATTGTTCCCCAGTAGATTCATATAGATTCAGTGTTTTTTTAGTTTTCCACTGGGATTTCCAATGTTTTTCAGCCCTTTTTGGCCTCGTCATTGTCGAATGTTCTCGAACAGTCTCCAAGTTATCGCAGACTCGTTCTCTTTCTTTTTTTCTCTACTTTCGTAGTATCTTGCTCTGCTCGTATGCTTTCTCTCGTTTCGGTTATTGATTTTACTTCATCTTTTCGTAGTCCCTTCTTTCTCCTCTTTTTTCCCTTTGTCTCTTCCTTAACTCTGTTCGTTTAGATTGTGTCATGTTTTCAGCCGTAATGTTTTCTTGAACGATTATTCCATTTTTATCCCCAATTTAAACTTTGTTTTTAGAAAAGGGACACTTTTTTTTTCTTCAGCTACGTGCCTTTCCAACAATATTCGGAATAATAGGATGGATAGGTTTGGAAGATATAAATACAAATGATTCGGTGACTGTTCACGGAGGTCCAGTGGGATAGCAGAGATGATTTCCAGACATTTGAGCTGGTCTAGAAGTTCTAAAAATTCTCAGTGGAATAAAAGCCTATAAAGTTCATACCCGTACGTAGAAAGGAGGGAAGAGGAGTAGTAAGGTATGGTAGATGGAAAAAGGAGAAAGGAAGCAAGAAATTGGAAAAATGCAGGTTGGCTTTTTAGAGAATTAGAAGAAAACATGCTTGAATGGATAAGACAGAACGAAAAATTCATAATGTGGAAGTGTGGTAAAGATGGTAGTGAAATTGCTAAGATAGTTTGACAGGAATGAAAGCTATGCTATAATGATTGCGGAAGTGATAATAATGATATCTTACTTTCGACCCCTCAGGTAATATTTGAGCACGAGGAAGGGTTCGGAATTTTGGTCTGATAATATGTAGTTGACTGGGTCATCGCAGCAAGAATTATAGTACTTCTTTGATAATTGAGATAGATAACTAAACTCTAATGGTAGGCTACTCGAAAGAGACATCAAGAATATAAGCTTTGTGATGCATACCATACTGTGACTTGGCCAGCCTGCACCAGAAACCGAGTTCTTGCTGTTCTTTCTTTCGTTTTCTTGTTTACATAAATAACATTTGGACTATTTTTTCTTTTTTTTCCTAATTCAGATATTCTTTGTTGATTTGGTTGGTTAGAAGAGGGGAGATGAAATAACTTACTGAAGAATTACTGGATTTTGGGGCTGATTAGGCTATCTCGAAATAACTAACCATGTATAATGTTTGCTGGTGAGATATATGTGCAGATATTAACGAATATTAACGGAAGTCATGGAGCAAATAAATTACTCTTATTCACGAACTAGCGAATCTTTAGTTTTTTAACCGTTCAATGAAAGAAGAGAATTTAAATTTGGAAAATTAAGGAGTATTCTGACTCGTCGATCAATTTGTAAGTATTTTTGTAGTGAACACCTCATTTACTGGCTATCTGGAAGATAGGATTTTATGTTTTGACGAAAAGGTGAAATTATTTGGTAAACTGACGTTACAATCAAGTGGTTAACTAGCTCGTTCCACATCTTTTTCTATAAAGAATAATTATATTGGGATGAAATAAAGGAGCTATATTAGAAATGAAACTTGAAATAAAGTTTTCACTTTAGTGAAGTTTACCGATAGGATTTGAATAAGATGATCGATTTTGTTGTGGCAAATGTTTAAATGACCACAAATGTGTTTTTTGAAGTTGGGATTAAAATTTCAAATAAGATGAAGTGATATTTGTGTCAAATGTAATTTAAATTGTAGGAGAAAGAAAATCTCTTTTTCCCATCCATATATATAGCTAAGGATTTCTGTCGATATTTTATTTATTCTTGTTGATTAGCGATGAGCAGACGTAGAAGTATGTCACAGGAGGGACGGTTGGTTAGTTTGAATATTATGGTGGTGAGATAGCTGGATTGTCCTTTTATTTAACTTCATTCTATACCTTTTAATTTACAGTCATGCTTCCAAAGTGCATTTTTTTTATTTTTTGATTAATATTTAAACTTTTTTACAGTGAATTTTAAATGAAGTTATGAAAATTCTTTATCTCTTAAATTTCTCATTTTTTTAAAAAACTGTGATGTGAAATTCAGAAAATCTAGACTTTTGGCTTCTACACTAATCCAGTTTCATATGCATAATTTTTCTACTTTGGCACATGTTTTTAGTGTTTTTTTGGTAGCTTTTATGCTATGAAAAGCACTAAGCTAAATTTGGAAATGATTTTTATACTTCAAAATATATGCATCCACCTGAAATGGAGTTTAATGAATTCTTCTAGATCTCTGATGTATAGAAAAGAACAATTATTAAATGGGTCCTTTTCGTAATTTCATGTGATTTTCTATAGTTATCTTGTTTGAACAGCTGTTCTGATTTTTTCGCGACTTGATCTGCTCTTCAAGCTCTTTCCAATGCATCCACCTACATCTCTTTTGGGAATATCTTTCCTGCAACGAAAACATATAATGATTTGATAATGGGTTTGCTCCTTTGGAGTAATTTGAAAAAGAATGAGCAGAGACAGTTTTCTTTGCTGTTCCAAATTTGTTTTCATACTCGTAGTCTTCTAAAAAAAATCAGAATTATCCAGTCCGATCACTTAATTTTTAATGATGGTTTGTTGTGATTTATACGTTATCAGTGCTGAATGGTTAAGACATACTTCAGAAGTGTGAGGTTGTAGGGTTAGTGGACATTGAAGCACTTAGCTTTATGTGATACATAAACAGCTGAGGGAAAATTAATTATAAAATCATAAATTGATTTTGTTGCATGGATTTTGCTAGTAAGAATATTTATTTCTAGGAATATACATCATCAAATAAGGCAACAGATGCGAGATATGGAACGGATGGCACATGGGATGTTAAATCCGTTTGGTTCACTATTCAACATGCACAATACATTTGACAGTATTTTTTTTTCTTTGAAGATGTTTAAGGTCACTATACATAATCTTTTTCGTAAAATAATGTATAGAGCATCTAGTTTTTTATCTTTTCAAAGTTGCATAGCTAATAATGAATGTATTTCCACTTTTTGCATTTCCTCTCCTTTAGGCGATTATTTTTGCCTTATCTGTTGTTGAGGTCATATTTGGTTTTCGTTTGAAAGTTGGTTCGGAGAGAAATGCTGACAGTTGATTTCGAATAAAGCTTGTTAGAATTGGTCTAACTTATCTGTGTGAAGTATAATTTGTGTTGAGGTATAATGGGAGAACCATCGGGGACACGGCCATCACATGAAATGGCGCTGATGGATCCGTTTGGCTTTAACCTGGGTGGCATCATGAGACAAATGGTTTATGTTTTAAAATTGCAGTTTTAATTTAAATTTAGAGATTTCTGTTCTGGAATTGCGGATATAATGAGTGCACAAATTTTGTATTTCTAATTCTATAACCCTACCAAATTAAATAAAGATGCATATCTTGTTGCACTTTTAGTTTTCCAATAAGGCTGAAATTATTTTGAATAAAATTTTAGGAGAATATGCAGGCACAGGCGATGAATGACCCAAATTCGCATGTGTTTTCCCATTCAACAATGATTAGCTTCGATGGACGTAATGGTGGACAACCTCGTGTAGTCGAAAAATCAATTCGTAAAACTGGTGATGTGAAAGAAACACGGTATTGCTTTCGTTTTAGTTAATTTATAAAATGGTTGGATGTTTAAGTTTTTCCTGGCACCCAAATGATGGTGTTACTTGCAAAGAGAACCACTGAAAAATGCGGTATTCGCAAAAGCAACTTGATTCATTAGGATCAGAGAAAAAGTGATTTACTTTTTAGACATGCGATTCGAACAGGCGAGGATGGCATAGGTGATAAGCTCACTATCGGGCATACGATCGGTGATCGGACGCACGTGATAGAAAAAAAGCGTGATCGTGATGGTCGAATCAGAGAACGGCAAAGCTTTGTTAATCTTGCACAAGGTGTTTTATCTAGTTATCATTCATTAACACTTACCGAATGATCCGGTTATTTTCATTGCCATGAACTTTTTTGGTGTCACTTCCGCATATAGTATGAAAATTCTCATTTCACATATTCATTAATTGCTCACGACAAGTTAGGAAATAGTGTCTTATCTATGCGAACCAGTTGTATGATAGTTGCTGGAATTACTGGGTAAAATTTGAAAAAACGAACGATATTCAAATATTTTAGATGAAGCGGAAGCGTTTGATCGCGAATTTACATCTCGTGCGCGGCGTAATCTAATGGGTGGTAGAACTGATGGCCAGAGAACTCGGGCGATTGAAGGTGGCAATAGATATGGTGGTACGACTTCAAACAGCCGAAGTCATGTTAGTAATTCCTTGAATTGTTTCCGTTAGAATTAAGATTTGTCGAGTTCTTCATGTACTATATTCTGTCTTATCTTAAATTTTTAATCAAAAAATTAACTTCAACGAAGAGATTGAAGTAGGAAGAAGGGAAGAGTTCTACCTTTGAATGCTGCATATAATTGGCTGGGAAAATTAAGTAAAATAATGTTGGAGTTTCTCAGGTACCGCGCATCGGTGGTAGTGGTGCTAATGCACCGATTATTACTCTTCCGGATGAAGAGGATGACAGCGATGTGACGATTGAAGAGGATTACGGCAGAGGGAAAAGGTAACTTCTTTACTCATGTAAAATGGTCAAGAAATGTTTGGTTTTTGAGCTGTGGTACCCCATCCAGAATGCGTTAATTGTAGTGGTAATATAAAGTACACTATATACCACTTTTTTTTGTATGTGTGTTTTCAGATCCAGTTCTCGTTTTGCGTCCACTTCGGGCGGTCCGGTAATCCGCGAAATGACAGACGATGATGAAGATGGTGTTAATAACCATAAACGACGAAAGGGTTTTTTTGGACGCCTGTTCAAGGAAAGTGATGAATGAAGCTGTAGTGTTTATGCTGTAGAAGGAACGCACACAACAAAGAACTTTCTGTATTTTGAAAATCATTTGAAATCTAAAATATCTGTGGGTTATGTTATGCGTAAATTTCGCATTATTACAATCTGTGTATTCGAATACTACAAATTGATGTTTTGATACTGCATGACAGTTTTATCTAGGAATTTTATCGTATTTTAACAAATTTTATCCTGGAATTTGATAATGAGATACTGACAATAAATTTGATGAACGTTTTTACGAGAAACCTCCAGCAAAGCTCTTTTTACCTGTATCCTAACCGTATGTTCTAGATAATGGAAAACCCCAGGTTTAATTGACCTCGAGGGATTTTCCCTTGCTTGTTGTTCATCTAGATCAGTTCGATGTTTGTCGGTTGCTTTTGTTTGTGTCATTCTTGCAGCATCTTCTACATCGGATCCCCTTCACAAGTTTAATGAAATTGTTTTCAATCAAGCTATCTTGGAATTGTTCTTTCGAAATTTTCCCATCTGTCATGATATAAAAATTTTTTTTTCTTCAAAGGAATTCGGAAATACCTGTGTTTTAGTATCTGAAATGAGTTAAAACTTTTCCATAATTTCATCACTGGCTCTCCTGGTTTTACGTACCATCCCTTCAAATTTTGCTGTTTATCCAATATTTCTCGGCTATGTTTTGGCGCATTGATTGGCCAGCTATTCATTCCAAGCAAGAATTGGCTCTTCATAACCGTCTGTCCTCCTCAACTCTGTTCACTCGTACCATCCCTTGTTCGTTTGCTCTTCAACTTGTGTCATGCCAGCACATATGGATCCTCCTCTCATTCATTTCTAACCATCCTGGTTTTTTCCAAATGAAGCATACACCAATCACTCCTCCGCCATATGGATCTTTTCAGTTTTTTTTTCAGTTATATTTTTCAGAAAATTCTCCTGGGTAATTTCCTTTCTTAAATCTATTTTGAGTCGAACCTAATACATGTTAACTGGAAAGGTGAAATCACTCTGCAATGAATTCATTATGCAAATGTTTGAAATATGCTTCAGTGTTAAAAGCAGTAACATGGAGAAGAATGATTTTATCAATAAGAAAACATCAAAAGAAAACTTTTGCGGCATTATCAGCGATGCTTTATTCAAATATTTCATTCAATCAACAACAAGTAAACCCTCTGCTTTGGTCAAGAATCCCTTCAAACGATCATAAAAATCATTTTTTGCACTTTTTTCGAAATGATTTCCTGAAGTATGAGACATCAATGAACGAAATGCGGCTCGTAGAGTTGATCGGTTTGGATGGTTTACTTCACGTGATAATAAATTTTTAACATACATTTTACAGCCATCCTAAAAATTTGTTTATGAATAATCTTCAGAATCAGAATTGAGAGCTATATGCGACAAATTTAAAAAATTCACGTAGCTAAAGTTTTTTTTTGAAATTATTTCTGAGAAATACAATACCTTATTTACTATAATAAACTAAGAATGGTTGTCGAAATTTGTTGCTAATTAAGATAGTTGCTTCGCAATATTTCATTATAAGTTAATTGGTTGTTAATTAATTCATTGTTAATTGATCAATTCGTTTTGCTTAATTAAAATTAGCTCATTTTTTTTTTCCTCTATTCGATAATATATCTATTTGTAAACGAATTATAAATACCTCATCACAACACAATAACGAATATAAGGCTGTTGATGTAGCTAAACTTTCCGCTTCTTCTTGCCACATAGTATTCAAACATATTGTAAATGTAGGCTATAAAAGTTATGATTTACATCAATCTCATCTATTTGTTGATATTTATAAGAAATTATTTGATATATCCTTTTTTCCGGATTCTTTTTTCCGGATTCTTTTCTTTTTCCTTTTTCCATATACAATATTTTGATAAGAAACAAGAATATCATATTTTAAATGTCACATTAATATTAATTAATATTTTACTATTACTGATTACAATTCTCACATTTATCTATTTGATAACGAATCTAATAATGAAATTAAATTTTATTCAAAAATATTTTATGTTCATTCAAACAATTACATTTCATTATTTAATATAAATTTTACTTTTCGAAAACATATGTTTTGTTTTTTCTCCTTTCCTTTACTTTATCGTACTCAAAATATTACTAAAAATTTAAAAATAAATAAAATTAGATAAAAAGAAAAACTTACATCAATAAGTGTAGAGAAAGTTTTAATTGTTTCATCACTTTTTAAATTTTTGGCAAAATAAAAACCTAAATTAGCTATTGCACGTGCTGCATTAATTGAAACCTGAAATTATATACAATTTATTTTTATTTTTTTTTTCTTTCAATAAAATAATAAGCAATAAGAAAAGATGCAATAAAATAATATTATTCACTATTACTGACTAATAAAGCATTGAAATTGAAAAATATATATCGATGATATTTTCAAACAAATAAAATGAATTAGACAAGCAAATAATTATACTAAATTATTGAAATACTAAAATAATTAAGGATAAAATAAGAGAGAGAATGTTTGAGAAAAAAAAAAAAGGAAAGAATAATTAAATGATACCTCTTGTTCAAAACGATCTTTTAATGTTGATAATAAATCATCTTTTTCCACATCTGTTTGTAAACCACGTTTAAGATAATCGACAAATAAGAGAAAATTTTCTTGTGACAATATTATAATACATTCAGGTGATGCTTCTGTTGAACATTCAAGAAAACGATAAAAACTGAAATTAAATATTTTCACTAATTAAAATTATATTTACTAATTTACTAATATAATATATCAATGATAATGAAAATATACATTTCATTATTTTAGTAATTTCAATTATTTTTTATAACTCTCAGAAATATTGATCAATAAAATGAATGAATAAAAAGATTGGTGAAAGATTATTTTCACACTAAATTTAAACTTTAACTTTTTTTTTTTTTTTATAGAATGGATAACTAGAATGATTTAAATATCAGCTTCCTTTTTTTTTTTCTCAGAATGCATAATTACAATGGATAGCTTTTAATTAAATGGATGAACTGATTTAAAATGAATCTTTTTCATTTGGCCACTTTTTTCAATTATAATAAATTTTAACTTATTATTTATTTTTATTTTTATAAAATTTTTAGATGAATCAGAAACAAATATGATGAAATTTTATATGGGAATTTATAAAGTTTTAGTAAATTTTACTTTTTACGTAATAGTGGCAATTTGAGGAAATCAAATCGCATTATTGACAATAACATATTCCATGTCATACCAATGATATCTGAACGAGTTTGCTTAAATTTTGGTTCACCTAAAAATAGAATTGTTAAAAATACTCAATATTGTACATAATAATATTTTCGTTTCTAATTAATTATTGCTAATTTTAATATTAATTTCAAATATCATATTCTAACATAGATTATTAATATGATAATAATTATGCTAATGAATAAACGAGTACTATTGATAGTGATATGATTAGTGAGTAATATTAATATTACTCTACAACATTAATTATTCTATTATGATATCATTTTTTTTTTAATCCAAGAATTCATACAATATTATAAATATAAGCATATTATTTTTTGCTAAGATAATGCTATAGTAGTTATTTAACTTTTAATAATAATGCAAATTTTAAACTGCTTAAATTATTGCGCTAATAATTGATTAAAAAGAAAAACTTTTTTCGATTTCTAAAATCTCAATCAAAAATTTTACAAAATAAAATTAGTTAATAAAAAACAAAACCAGTTGACAAATCGATCGGTCGACTTCGTCTATTCAAAGTATTTGTAAGAATATCCAATAAAAGAATTAAATCGGATGCTTTTTCTTTACTATCCATTTTTTTATATCGTTCTGTTTGTTGCATTTCATAAATTTGAACAATATCAAATAGCACCTTTAAAAAAACAAAAAAGAAAAATTTATATTTGAATAATAAAATATTACTCATTTATCATAAAAGAAAGTTTTTTTTTTAATGATTGAAATTCGTTTTCTCTTTTTTTTTTTAGCATTTAATCATATATGATAACACTGATAATGGCAATATGATTTAGCAGATGATTTTGCGATTTCCTAATTAATATTCTTCTTCATAATTATCATCAAAAAAAAATTGGGCTAGATCAAATAATAACTGAAATAAACTGGAATCATGAATAGACTGGAAACGGAATAGAATTGAATTGAGGTAGATTGGAAATGGAATAAACTGGAATGTAATAAAATTGAATACGATAGAATTGGAATAGACTGGAAATTAAATAGACTGAAATTGGAATGCAACAAAATTGAAATGGACTGGAATTGGAAATTTTCAACGACTATTTCTAACTTTAGTCTAATAAACTTGCAATAGGCTGAAATTGAAATATGCTGGAACTGGAATAGGATGGAATCAAAAAATGCTGGATTGGGATAGATTAGAATTGGAATGGACTGGAATTGGAGATTTTCAAAGTCTATTTCCAATTTTGGTCCAATAATACTGGAATAGAATGGAATTGGAAAAGGATAGAATGAAATGTATAACCTGATAAAGCATTAATGTATCATTGTGATTATCACAAAATAAATGCATTCGTTTTGTCAAGCAATCGAAAAATTGCAGAATAGCATTAATAGTAGGTAATGAATCTTTGTATACTGAAAATAGTTCAACGGAACGTTTCAAAACTGGTTCAAGATATCCTGAAATAATCATACATTTCTCATAATTAATGATAATTTCTAATTATTTCATTATTAATTAATCCGAAAATTCCAAATTTTTTAAATTAAAAACATTATACAGATATATGCTTATGTGGCTATAATAAACCATAATTAATTTTTAATAATTAAGAAATGAGAAATTAACCGAGTAAAAAACTTGCGGAACATTTTTGAGCAGCATCAATCACAGCACAAAAACAATCCAATAGATCATCAATATTTTCATTCGTTCCTGATGGATTATCACATAATGATATGAATTTAATCCGTATAGGTATTAAAATCTATAAAAACTAATTAAAAAAAGGAAATTAAATAAAAATCATAAATGTATAATTTAAATATTTCGATCTTTTTGTATTATGTCACAAAAAAAAATAGTAATTTAAACTAAATTCAATGAAATCTACTTGTATTATTTATGAAATTTCAATTTATATAACAAGAAACAGGTACTGATACAAACTTCGTTAAATAATTCTAATAATTTTGATTGATTATAAGTTAAACTAACCATTTGAAATAAAGTTCTTTGTTTTATTTCATCATCAATTATACTACCAATTTGTACTAATGCTTTGATTAAAGATGTACGCATTGATAATTGATCAATTTGTACAGTTGATAAATAGGAAAATAAAAGAATACTCTTTGATGTTTCACAATACATTGTCTTTGCTAAAGCAGAAAGTAATTCAATAGCATCCATACATGTTCTGTAATTTTAAAATTAATTATTCTATTTAATTTTATAGTACGAAACATTTTTTTTAATTCATTTTTCTTCCTTTTCAGATTTTTTCTTTTTTTATATTACAATAGTAAATTCTCAATTAACTAAGTAGAAATGATTAAAAATTTGTTAGGAAATAGGAAATAATTGAAAACTCAAATATATATATATATCAGAATTATATTTAGCGCACAATTTTATTTATCAAATATTGCTAACATAAATGATAATCACTACAACAATTATTTTTGCTAAATTGCTATTATTTAAGAGAGGAAATAATTAAAAATTTGCTAGTATACATGAATATATTAAAATTATATTTATTATCAAGACAATGATTACAATTATCAAGTATTATTAGCATAAATGATAAATATTATTAGTTAAATTATCCTGAGTTCTTATCATAATTATATGAGTAATTTTGCCATTTATATAAATAATAAACTAACTTTTTTTCATCCGGCATAATTTCAAATATTCGGAATGCTTTTTGTAATGAAAAATCAACCAATATTTGTGTTATATTTTGTGATACTTTAGCTAAATGATTGTTTCCTTTCGATTTTTGCATATTTAATCCAAGAGCGGAAATTAATCGTTTTGCGCACCATAATGATGTACCACATAATTCCACACTTATTGCTGTTACACCATGATCTTTTAGTAATTCATCCTCAATTGAACACCAAGCAAATACAGTACCAATCATTCTAAAAATTTGAATCAAAAAAATTTTTTTTTCACTTATTTTATTAGCTAGCTTATTAATGTATCGATTTAATTAATTAATATTTCCTGTAACAATTAATGCATAAAATTTTCATTTTTCACGCTTTTTTTTTTTATCTTTCCCATAATTTACTATCAGTTAATTTTATTTGAACTAATTAATGCTTGCAATTAAATTCAAGTGTAATATCAATTACATTAATTACTAATTTCATGATTTCTATCCATATAAAATAGTATTTCAGTAAATTTCGGAATTTCTCTCTAACTTGATCACAATATCAACATCCGGTGGATCAGTTAATGCTTGAGGTGTATTGATACATGCTTCAATAAATGGTGCATAACTATTGATATTATTATTTTCTCCAACTATAGTTTCCGCATAATAAACTAATAATTTGCTTTGAAATACACAATTACGATCATCATCTTCCTGTACTAATACATGCCCTGAAATAATACATTAATTATTCAACATGCAAAATATTCTTATTAAATAATTTTCAATTAATTTAGAAAAAAAAAAGACGAATAGGCTTATTATAATTTGATCGTAATTTGATCATTCTACAATTTCTTCTCTCACTTTTATAATTTAAATTTAATTTTATTTTAAACAAAAAAAAGCTGAAACTAAAATTTGAAGATTTAATTTTTAATAAAAAAAAAATCATTTATAATAAACTTACCAACAATAAGCATAATCCAATGCATATTTTCTCGCCACATATTCAATTCTTCAACGCTTATTTCTTTTTCCATTGTTGTTAAAAATTCTTCCACTGTTTCAACAAGCATTCTACAAAATATTAATTTAATTTTAATTGTTATTGTAGCAAAAAAAATTATTATTTATAAAAGTGAACATAAAAAAAAACTTAATAAAATTCTGAAACAAATTAATTAATTGAAATATTTATTTAACAAACGAGAACATTTTTATTAACATTGGATCCAAAAAAAGAAAAAAAAAACAAATTCACTTCCAATTTTCTACTTCTTATTTATTAAACTAATTATTTTTATTTAATTGTAGAACTGCTTCTAAAATTAATTAAAATATTTATTAAAAGTATAAGAATTTTCTCGGCAAGATTTGATTAAAAATAAAAAAATTATCATTTATAAAATTCGATAAAAAAATTTGATAAAATTTTGAAATTAATTAATTCATTGAAACGTACGAGAATGTTTTTGATAATGTTTGATCCAAAAAATATGATGAAAAAGCTCCAATTTTTATCAATATTTCTTTGTAAATTTCACGATCCGGCAACGGTACTGATACCTAAAATTCAATCAATTTTAATTCTAATAATTTCTACCTATTCCTCTTTCTATTTTAATATTTTTCAATAATTTCCATTTTAATAATTTAATAATATTTTAATAGTTTTCTTTAAAATGATTTTTGATAATCTTTTTGATACTTTTAATATAATAATTACTTGAATTAATAATTATTCGAAAACGATAAAGAGGAAATTTTTCCACAAATAACAATTTATGCAATGTGAATTTTTTATCAAATAAATGATATAATTTACGAATTATGTTATCACATTCTGATAAGCAAAAAAAGAAAAGTCACACACGTATGTATATATATGTATATATATATATATCGTAAATTGAAAAGATTTCGTAACGAATTAAAATTTTAAAAATAAATAGGTGAAACAAATTAATTTAATCATTCAAAATAAATTTCAATTTGAAGGAAAAAAATCCGTAAATTTTAAAAAAAATTATGAATTTTATTTTACTCTTCCAAATTTTATTTCACTCTTTCTTTGAATTTTACTCTTTCAAAAAAAAAAGAAAAGAATTTGAAATGTAAAAATAAGAAAAAAAAATAGATGACAAACAGACCTCTTCTCGATCACCAAATGGAACAGAAAATACAGTTTGTGTAAATGATGAAATCATTCCATTTGTTATTTTAGCAAAATCAAGCCAATAAGTTGTCAATTGTTCGATAAATTGTAAATTTTGCAAAATTATCAACCATCCTTTGTATAAATGTTGTATGGCGCTAATGTACGCCCATTTAAGCGCCATATGACATTCTTTCACGGCATCCTTTTCCGCTTTGTTGACATTCTTATTTTCACCATCATTTTCGCTTGTTTCTTTCTGTAATAATGCGCAAGAAAAATATTAAAATTGGATAACGAAAAAAAAAAAAGACGAAAAAGTAAATTGTTTTACGGATTGTAATAATTAATAAACTAATTATATCTTATTGCTTAATCAATCGACAAATTGCTTGATTAACTCAATTAACTTAACAGTTACTTGTTGTTCAATTAATCAATAAGATTAATGTTTGATTGCTTATTACTTAATTTTAATCGAACAATATTACTATTTCTTTTATTTAATTTAATGATTGATTCCTATTTGATTAAATTAAGAATTGTAATAGATGAATAATAATCGATTATGAGAATAAAACTGACAAAGTTTAATTTGATTACTTTTATATCAATGACTAAAATTTAATTAGTATTAGATGTTTACGATTAAATTTAATAATTTAACAATAAATTAATAAATTTTGTTTTCTAATGCATTTCATGTTTGTATAATAATTTTTTATAATTTCGTGAATTACAACATTTGCATGTATTTACTCACGTTCACGTACGATCACGTAAATGTGAAATTTACGATGGAAACACACGTCAATAATTCATTGAAAATAATTTAAATTCATATATTAGCAGAAAAAAGCAAAAAAAAAAAAAAGAAAAGAGGTATTATACGTGCATACCGAATCTGATAATTTCACGGCAAAACTTTCCATCAAAATCGGAATAAATGATAAAAAGCTCGGAAATGTTGCTTCAGCACGTATAAGTGAATAAATTGGATGACTTGATAATATATTAACAATCATCAGACAAAAACTATACGTTTCCGGCATTATTGCTTCACTAAAATTTGTAATATATGTAATTCTTCTTTTAACATTTAATCTTTAATCTTATCAAATTATCATTTCCAATTATTTAATATTCCGAAATGATAACAAATAAATTTAAAAGAAGTATCATTCATTCTGGATGCTTAATCGTATAAAATCGATTAAATTACCATAGATTATATTAGAATGCTATATAAATTAAATGAAAATTTTACTCGTTGAAAGTCCAAACATAACCGGCAAGAAGATCTGATGCATATCTGTCATAACTACTGGTACAAGGAATATCAGGAAAAGATATTGCTGCAGAATCCGGTTCAGGTATTATATCCGGTAAAATGGTATTACTTATTGATGCTAATTCACTTAAACAGCTTGCTGTAAGCACCGAAAGGCCATGATTATTACGAAGAAATCTGTGTAACTGAAAAGAAAATTTTTTTTTTCATTTTTTATAATTAATTCTTGTAATTTCAAAATTATTGAGTTTTTTTTCTATTTAAAATCTACTTAAAGGTCAATGTTTTAATTTTACATAATAATGAATGATGATTAATTAGAATGTCTTTGTTAATTAATAAATGAATGGCGAACTTATTGTAAGCTATAAGCTAATTAAATATCATAAATGATTAATGATGATTGATTTATTTAATTCCAAAAATTGCTGATAATTTAACCAATGATAGATTAAATAATTAATACAATTATTTGTATAATATTTTCAATTACTCAAAGGTTACATTAGAAGCATTTGAAATTATCACAATTTGATATTACATTACTATCATTTTCATTTTTTTTTTTGTTTACAATTTAATGATTAATTTATATGCATATTATCTTTAGCAATATAAACAAGTAAGTAAATAAATGAATAAACAAGTAAACAAAGAAAACAAATAAACAACAAACACAAAAGAAAAGTTGCAAGAATTCACTCCATAAAAATATTCCTCGCCATGTTCTTGGTGGTCCTCTTATTGCTGCTTCACTTTTTTTCGGAAAATGATGAACACCATAATTTCGTGAAAAGATAATATTTGATATTCGTAGGAAATATTCTGTCATACTTAGCTGCAATTAATCATTAACTTTATCATTCATTATCAATATAGAAAGAGAATTTTAAAAAAAATAAACAAAACGAATATAATAATTTTATTTAAAAATTAAATTATTTCTTTTTTTAAAAGAAAGAGCAAAAAGTAAATCGTTGTAACTAAAGATATATAAATAACTTAATTTTTTAAACATTAATTTTAAACATTAACTTTTAAATGCTTCAAATATTCCTTTACTTAAAATAAGTTTCATAAAAATTACTAGAAAATTTACATTTCGCCTAATTTATCACAATAAATTAAAATGATTAATTAATGATTAAAAATAAAAAACTATCGAATGCAACAATTAGGATTAGAATTATTGGGAAAAAAAAAACTTGAAAACATACATTAGAAATGTTTTTGGTACCGCTGACAAGAATGCAAAATCGAGGAATAATATGTATACATTTACAATAAATTTTTAATAAACCTTTCTCCTAAAAAAAAAAAAAGAAATTGAAGTAATTGAAAAATATCCATTGAAATTAATTGGTAATTACATTTTTAATTATTCATTTGTCTTTGTGCTACTTTGCTCCCACATCAATCAATTTTTATTTATTCTATTCATTTACTTCATTTAAATTTATAATCAAATACTATAACTCATCATTTACATTTGATATTGTGCAATATACTAGACTGTTTAGCACATTATTTTAGTAATAATTAAATATTATTAACTTGAATGAGAAAATTACACTAACTCATAGATATTTTTTAATTATAATTATTTTAACCTTTCAACATCATTTAATCATAATTATGTTAACTTATCAATATTATCTACTTATAATTACCCCAACTTATCTTCACCATCTAATTGTAATTATGTTATCTTATCAGGGCTTATTGATTCATTTGCATTTATGCTATTTTGCTCCTAAATAAATCAATCCTTATTTAATCTATTCATTCATTTTATTTAAATTTGTAATCAAATACTTAATACAATTATTCTAAAATGGTACTTCGTCATTATCATTTCAACGTTTCGATCTTTTTTACCAGTAAAAAATTATCAGTTATCGATTCAATTACAAATTTTAAAGTTGGAAATTTTAAAAGCGATAAAATCATAGTGATAAATAGGAAAATTGATAAGTGATACCTCAAACTCAATCTTTGCTTTATACTGGAAATCATAAGGAAGGTTAAGATCGCCCATTCTCCAATATTTATCAAATTCATCCAAAAGTAAAATGAAGAATTCATACGCTAATCTATGCTAAAAATATGCAAATTAAAATAAATAAAAATATAACAAATTTTTTCTTATATATATAAATTAACTTTTAGTTATTATTAATATGGTTCAATCAATTTTTTTTTTAGCTAAAAATTAATTTTATCATTGTTAGGTGTTTGCTACTAATTTATAACTTGCAAATAATTGAATCTATTAATAAAAATTAAGTACACTGTAACAGTTTAAGGCTAAGCTTAACTATCTAGCTATTTATTTATTTGTACTTGAATTACAAATGCAACATTATGCTAATTTCATGATAAGAAGTATAAGATTTCTTAGAGAGAAATATATTTTAGAGATAAAGATTGTTAAACTTTATTCACCACTAATTTATTTTATCAATCATTATACTATCAATATTGCTAATAATTTAAAAATATTAATTTAATTTGCTAATTATTAGTTTAATTTATTTCAAAAAAGTATTAATTTTTAAATTTATTTAAATCAATGAAATTTTCACAATTCCTTTCTTTTTTTCTCTTTTACGATTGAATTTTATTATCATTTTATAAAAAAAAAAAAAAAAAAAAAAGGAAAAATATGAGAAGTAATTACAAATTCCGGATCTTCATCTGTTAATAGGACATAAATTTTTGATGCCAATGAATCGAAATTACATGCATGACCATCAAAAACTGATCGTTTCACTAGTCTACAACATACTCGTAGCATTTCATGCCGGATTTTCATTGATTGCCTGTTAAAAAAAAAGAAGTGTATATTGAATTTCATTTCATGTAATTATGTAATTATGTAATCTGATTAATATTATTGTTAATCGTTATCAATTATAATTAATTTGGCAAAAAAAAAGAAAACCTACAAATTTGTAATATGCAATCAATGAATTAATTAATCAATTAATTAACCAATCAACGAATTAATCAATCTATTAAGCCACTGATCAGTTAAATAATTAACCAATAAATCAATTGAACAGTCAATTAAACAATTAATTAGCCAATCAAGCAAGTAATATATTATTCAAATTATCGAAGCAAACATAATTTGCTCATGAAAAATTACGAATATTGTTTGAAATCCAAAAAATGCCGTAAAATTTTAACAAAATAATAATAATAATAATAACAATAATAATAATAATAACGGTAAAAATAATAATAGTGATAATAATGTTAATAATAATAATAATGGTAATAATAACAATAATCTAACATTTCTTTGTGATTACTAAATTTGATCTGTGCTAAATTTTTTCAAAATTTCTAGCAAGATTAAAATAAAATACGATTTTTTTATTTTATTTCTCAACCTTTTTAATCATATACTGGCAATTTTTTACTAACTCTCTAATTGATTATCATCATAAATCATGATTAATTATTATTTTTATGACAATAAAATCGCTATGCTTTTCCCTTCTATTACAGTAAAATTGATTCTACCTGTGTTTTAACAAAGCTTGTCCAAGAAAGTAATCAAAATTTTCTTTTTTAATTATAGGCTCTAAATTTTTCCATCCTCTGAGGATCAATGTACTAGCATTTTCAGCCATTGAACATGTAAGTATTTCATTCGATGTTTTACCTAAAAAAAAGAAAAATGAATAAATCAAAAAAAAAAACGAAAAAAAAAGGAAACAATGAGCATATTTAAAGTTCTAAGCCTTAATAATCGTATTTTTTTAAATTTTGAAAGATTTAATAAAACTTTTCACTTAAAGTTCTAAGCCTTAATAATAGTATTTTTTTGAATTTTAAAAGATTTAATAAAACTTTTCTAATTATTTCATTGCGAAGTAAATTTTAATCAATTTAAATCACCAAAATATTTGATATAAGAATTAAATGACCATATGACCATTTATGAAATGAGAAATGATCAAGTAGAGAAGATGCAGCAAATGGCCAACTGTACAATGAATGGAAAAGGATTATTTAATTCATTTCTTTTGCCTATTCATTATCCAAATATTACGTTACCTAGATAAACTAATTAATTTCTTATTTGAATAATTGAATTAATTTAATGTTACTTAAAGTTAATATTTTTCTCACCATTTCATTTCCAATATTGAAGAATACTATCTTAAATGAAAATTACAACAAACCAATAACTATACGACATTGGTCCAACGTCATGCAAGTACTTATATTGCGAAAGTACCATATAGCACCAAAATGAGCAGCTGGTGAAATTGCCGTTGATGACTAAAAATTCATCGAAATTATTATATTAGTATTTATTCAATTTAAATGAATATTTAAATTTTATTAAATTTTGTTTCGTTTTTTTCTTGCTTTTTAATTTTCTTTTAAAACTCAATTTTTGTTTTTTTTTTGTTCAACTAAAAATCATCCTAAAATCATTCTTTGATTAAGATTACGAAGTAAATCTAAAATAAATTTCAATATTTTTAGTTCGATTTGAAAAAGAATTTGCAAAAAAGATTATATTTGTTGACATAAAATTCACAAGTAAATAATTAATCAATTAATTGATTAATTAATAATAAAGTGCAATGAGAAAATGAGACAATGTATTTACTGCATTTATTGGTTGAATCATGAAATAAATTTAAAATAAATTCAAATATTTTTATTTAGATTTGCAATGGAATTTACATAAAGGATTATATTCGTTAGCATAAGATCTATAATCAATTAATTAATTAATAGAAAGGTATAGTGATAAAAATGAGATAATGTAAATAGAGCAAACCTCAAGATTACGAGCCATTTCTTCCATTTGTCTAAT